GAAAAAACGATTCTTCGCAGCTGGGGATCGTATTCCAGGGACCTGCCCGAAACGCTACGCGTACTAGTGGCTGTACAAGAATGTAACAACTCTTGTATATATCTCAAAAAAAAAAAAAAAAAAAAAAAAATCCATCGAGGAGAGCAAAATTGAGAGGGCAGTAGAAAGAAGCAATGGCGAACAAATAGGGTCAGGAGAGGGCGCTGGGGAGGGGGGGAAGGGAAGCATCAGGAGAAAGCTCCAAGCCATTACAACTATATAGCACTCGGAAGGGGTCAGGATAAGGATAAGGATTTGGTGTGGGGACGGGGGGAAAGAAATGGTTCTTAACCACTTGGATGGTCGTGGATTGAGCATCGACTTGCAGGACGCGAGACCGTGGCTCTACCATCCAGTCCAAATGGTTGGGCGGTGGGTAACAATGGGGAGGGGAGTGGCAAGGGTTGGAGGGGGGGGAGTGGGGGGGGGGGAAGTTACAAGGGTTGGAGGGACAGGGGAGGGAGAATGGGGAGGAGAGTGGCAAGGATTGAAGGGGGGGCGAAAGAGTGGGGAACATCGACAAACAGCAGGAGCACCTCACCAGGGACAGGATCAGAGGCAAGGGTTATGGGACCATCGATAGGTAGATTAGTCAACTCCACTACTGGGACAGGAGAGGCAGGAACCAAGACAGAGAAGGACAGTGTGGAAAGGTCAGAAGCCTTCTTACTTGACAGGGAGGAAGAAGAACCAGGTTTCTGTTTCTGAGAAGGCCGAGAAGAAAGACTGTCAAAAAAGGGGAGGAGGAGAAGGAAGAGGGAGAGAAGTAGAGTTAATCGAGCAAGGAAGAGATGAACTGGGAGGGGTGGAACAGATAGATGGAGAAGGAAGAGGGACACTGGTGGTCACATAATAGACAGGAGGAGTGGGAGCTGGTGGGCCTTTCAGGGTCCTAGGGTTAGAAACCATTGGAGAACGAAGGACGGGAAGGAGGGTGGGAAACTGCAGTGACGCAACATACGAGCACAAGTAATGGAAGTGTCAAGATGATGGACCTGGTGCAAAGCCTCGGGGAAAGAAAGACGATCATGATGTTTCAAAGAAAGGACAGCCTGTTTAAACTTATAATAAATGCACAATTGAGAAAAGGCAGGGTGGGCCTCCCCGCAGTTGATGCAGCAAGCTAGGGAAAAAGAGCAATCGGCACGAGAATACCTGGGATCACCACACAAGGGATACCTCACAACTGCAAAACCATGTCCAAACTGCCAACACTAATTGCACAGGCGAGGAGAGGGGATGTACCCCTGAACAGAGCATCAGGCAAGGATCATCATCAGGATCGGCAAGCATGACTGAAGATGGGAGGGTCCTACCATCAAAAGTTATCTTCACAATATGAAGAGAACAAAGACGATGATCACGAGAGGGACGAATAAAGGAGTCAATCCTCTAAGAGACAGGAGATATGTTTGAATAACAGATTTCACACCTTTATCAGCCAGTTCAATGAAGTTGATACCAACATGACTAGGTACTCAAACAAAGTTCTACTTGTTTGTATTTACTAAAAATATACTGTACAGGTAATGCTGAATATCCAAAACTATAGGACTGAATAGATAAAAACTCAATAGCTAGCAATAGCTTTGCATTAAGGAGGTGCTAAGCGCAGTAATGCCTATAGTACTTTTACAGAATATTCAAAAGTTCCTAGATATTCAGGATGCCAATAAGAAAGACATAATACAAGCAACACACGACAGTCTTAAATCTGTATTTAAAGGAGGTACAGCTAATGTTGGATCAAGAAAGCAAGAAAATTTTCTTTCTAATATTGGTCAATCTTAGAAAGAAACCATAAATTTGAATCTATATGGGAAAACAACTATGAGCACAATTAGTCAAATCAGTTTTTGAGTTTTAACTAATTGTGTATCAAAAACTCTAATCTATTTTGTGCATCAAAACAATTCAAACAAGTGATCGGTGCCGAATTCTAAAAATTAAATACTCTTTCCATGCAACCATGTAATTTAAGTGGTGTACACAAATGTGTTTTTCTTTCAAGTGCAAATATTGTGCCCGTGCTTTGTCAAAGCCATTGCATAACTACAATTTGAACAATGATCAGCAATGAATAATTATCCACTCAAATATTTCAGAGGCATTTGAGAATAAAGTGAATCAGAACTTTTAATTTAATGAATGGTTTTATGGGCACCATAATTGCTAACTGGGAAAAATATGACCAAGAACAGCACTATGTTCCATTTTCTGTTAAATTTCCAGGCATTGCAATTAAAAATTTATAATTTTATGCATACAAGTTATCATGGTAAAGCTTTGGTTAAGCCATATAATGAATTGCAACCCATTGCAGTCACCAAAATATCTACAATTACATTGCAATAATTGGTAAGGATTATCATCTGTTTGGTATGCCTCAATATTTACTGTTGCTATAAAAGCCCCAATTTAAGAACAAACTTGATAATTTTAGAATAAAATTGGAGGATAACAAAATTTTTCTATACAACTTTCTTCATATGTGATCACATGAACATTATCATTTTCCTGTTTATATATGAAATTAACAAAATGAAGTAACAATGAGATTATTAGTTGTAGTAAATAAACCTTTGGCATCAGATGGGCAACAACTGTGTTGAACAAAGTGGGGGGAACCATCTTTAAATGTTTTATATACATTATCACATGTACTTTTATCCTATGATTTTATCATCAAAACAAAAGCAGAGATGCTCTATAATTTTGCATTAATTACAGCGGTTAGAAAAACTCCGCATAATAGAAACTTTTCCTAACGGATAGAAGTGATGAGATTTAAGTCTCCCAGTCTTAATCACTGGGAATCCAATGATGGGATGACAGTCCCAATTAATCCCTAGGAAGGAGACTGCACTGTACAACAATACCTTTACTCTTCACATAAACTAAAGGCAAGATACTATAAAGTCTCATTACTGTAGTCAATTTCTGTGCTACTCAAAAGTAACTTATACAAATTGTCAAAAAGCAAACATGATGTAAAGCTCTTAAGTCCATTAAGGGGCCCAGTGCATGTGCACCAAAACTTCCTCACACTAAATTTTTTTTGTACATAATTTTCGTGGTAAATGCTCCAACTTTTAACAATAGATCAACATCATACCATGGAGAAAAAAAAAAAATCAAATTTATATAAATATCTTATAATGTCACCAATTGTTATTTTATTCATTACGGTCTCAGAATGGCTTATAACATTCATTCTCCTCTGATGAAATTGTTTAAGAGTATAGTTTACTGTAAAAAAAAAAAAAAAATTGAATGTGGCCATCCAAATATGTGCCAAATTTATACGCATAATATTTATAACTCCAAATGTTATGGCTTTATGATTAAACGATTCAGAGGAAACCCTAGAACTAAGAACTTTGCACATAATATGTAAAAATTATGACAATCAGTCAGAAACTGAAGTTTTTATAAGGTCTCAAAAGTTGAAAATGTTGGTCATAGAGAAAAATGCATTTAAATTTCTCAACAATGAATATAGAACTTCTAATTGATGACATATCTTGTAAGTTTTAATTAAGATTGCTGGGCATTCGATATCAAAAGTATCAGATTCATCAAGAATGCTATCGAGGGACAAGTGACCGTGGGGGACGGTTGGAACGTAAGAGACACGCTCGTCCTGGAAGTCAGGACATTTAACAAGGTTATGCACAACTGTAAGAAGGACAATGCCGTTAGGACAATAAGGAGCAGGATGGCGCTCCATTAAGTGTTTGTGAGTTAAGCGCATATGGCCAATATGCAACTTTGCCAGAGCTGTTTCCCACTGCCGGTTAAAGTCATAGGAAGAAGACCACAGGGACACACTACTCTTAAAGAGTACGCAGTTTGTTACCAATAACAGAAGACCAACAACCCTGCCAACGGGCAAGGATGGAGGAATGAATAAAAGTTGGAATAAGGAATACCTTTATGGGAAATAGGACAAGTGTAGATAGCTTCCCTAGCAGCAGCATCCGCACACTCATTTAAAGACACCAATATGGCTGGGAGCCCAGTTATCCCTTCCTCGAAAATTAAGAAAAGGTGTGCAGCACGGGAAGAATTGTAAACTTTTGCTGAAACAACTCATCCAAATCAAGCTGCAGTAGGCCGTTACCTTAACCTTTTCAATGACACTGTGATGCATCACTACAGACAAATGTTAAAACGAAGGGAAAAACAAGTGTCACTAGACAAATTTTTAGTGAGACAAACTAGCAGTGAACCACAACCAGGTCCTAGTGGTATGCAGGCAAAACATAGGAGAGAGAAACCATCACTGCCTGATGTTACTGTTTGGAAGGGGAGTCCCCTTCCATTATAACACCTCTCCTCCTCACCATCTTCCAGATGCCAACAGGAGTCATCAGTAAAGATAAGTAATAACATGTACATATTTTTGTAGTGAAGATCTGGGTGAATTAGGTATAAAATTATGAATTAGGATCAATTCATTTCCCTTTATTTCTTATGGAAAAATCGCTTTGACTTACGATACGTATCTGGGAACGGATTACCATCATAATCGAGGCCTCACTAATATACTAACTCATAATTATGTGTGAAATCTGGTCCTCCAGGTGGCACCAGCTGCATATCCATTTTGTAGGCCTTGCTTACTACTTGTCTTCTTTGTGCGTCGGACAGGTGCTTGCATATCTCTAACCCTGATTGCCAGTAAATTGGAGGTGTTACCGTTATTATCAGTACCGGTTGCTTCCTGTCACACACGCATTTATTTAAAAAAGAATTCGTAAAAAAATTATTTCTTAACATATTGGGATGAAATTTTCACGATGCTGATGACAAATAACTGGAGATTTGTTTAAATTTTTCACTATATTTCATATTTTGAAAAGCCTCCACGTGCACTGGGCCCCTTAAAGAGCAGTTACGTAAAGTGGAAAAAAAGAAAAAAAAAATACAAATGGACAGATTTTTATTAAGTTACTCACTGTCCAAATCTCGTAATTGCTTTAGAAAATCTACTACAGTACTACTTCTCAGCAACTGAAAGAAATACAATTAATAACAAATCATCTGGGTTAGTAGGTATGGGAAAACTTAAGCATCATTTTATGAACACATTCAGGTTAGTAGGTACAAGGGAGAACGTAAGCATCATTCAATACCTGCTACCGAAAAAAGGAAACTAGGAAGCACTGCTACCTGCCCGATGGTCTGAGAAGATGAAGTAAAAGATTAGACCCATGCACATTACTCACATTTTAAAAATTAAATTACCAAAATGTGACTTCATCTGTCTCTATAGATTTATAGACAAAAAAAAAAAAAAAAAAAAGACATGAAAACACTTACGTATTAAATACAGTGAAAGCATAAAACTATAAATCTGCTAAAATTGATATCTTGATTATATCAATAAATATTAAAAACAGGAGCAATGCAAATGCAGCCAATTTGTAATAATGCTGTAAAAATTAAATTTGAGAATGGTAAAAATAATCTACAGAATAAACCTACAAACAAGACAATTTTAATACTGTATATAGAAGTATATACAGATTTCAATACTGTACATGGTACAGTATAAAATAATACAGAAGGATCCTGATTTTACATTAGAGTCATTCATAAGACTGTGTTCTTTGATGTACAATTTGACAATAATGCTAAAAATTCATGCAGTCAATTATGTAACTATGTAAACCACAACACTCGATAATTTGGATCCTGAGATGACAAAGTTAACAATTTATCTAAATTAAATTATGACAAAGTTTAACATTTAACTATTTTTGGTTACTGCTGTCAAAAGTTACATGCTACATGGCAAGGAGATAAGACATACATTATCAGTTTGAATTGAATATCTTTGATGGTGCCTGTTACACTGTGTTAACAGAAATTGGTTCGAACGCAAACTTTCAAAGAGCAACAACAAGTGGTAATGAGATGAATAATTTTATAGTACATAGGATAGTTTTCAAACCTTATCAAATGCACTTAATCCATGGAGAATGATGCCTATTAGTCCTCAAAGATGTACATACAGCATTCATATCCAATGTTTTTATTTACACTATGAAGATTACAGAGTGTAATTTAAATTCATCATACAAATGGTGTGATACATGAATGTGGACTTACGATCTCCTCAACTTTATGACTGCTGATAATTTAAATTCTTCTAAAATCTTATACTAAAATGAACATGGCCCAATAACAATAAGGACCTTCCTTGTACCATCTTACACATTTAGTAATAAATGTTAAGAGATTCAAGCTGATCTGCAAAAGTATTCTCCAAATATCACACATTCACCAAAATAAATAAAAAAAAGTACTCCCCAATAGGAAATCTCTAATAAATGATGCATAAGAGCCATATAAAACCAACAATAAACCAACCTGAACACAGCTAACATTACCAAGCATTAATTCCTTCTACACATTAAGCAACAAAGGATCCCCAGAGGTGGCAATCCATGGAAAGCAAGAATTATGAATACTGTAGATAAGCACTTCCTTAGACATTATGCAGCCAAGGAGATGGGGGAGTGGAAAAGCCAACAACATTAAATGATTTCACCAAGTTCACCAAGAATGAGGTGGATATCAAGAGGATAGAATACAAGGAACCAGTGGGCACCAGTGAATACTGGGTTAGTGTTCAACTGTATAGTTAAGCTGAAGATTGGGACAAGAGCCAAGAAAGGACAATAGAAGCAAGCATCAAAAGATGCCACTAAGCTGGGGAGACTTTGTAGCACCATCTGTGTCACAAAATATTTAATACTGTACTAGATACAATTATAAGAACACAAGGTGACATCAAGGGTATGGATTCACCATGGATTCTATATACAGAAAAGTGACCCAAATGAACATTTGGAAAGCAAGCCTTACAATCATCCTGAAAATCAAGATATTCAGCAAGGAAATGCACGACTAAGTTGGATAATGCATTTCAGACAATAGGGAGCTGGGCATCATTCCGTGAGTTACAAACAACAAAGAACTTATGATCTCAAATGATCTCAAAAACTAGTTCGAATGCAAGCTTTCCAAGAGCAACAACAAGTGGTAATGAGATCATTACTGGTGTGGTGGACGAGTAAGCCCGACAGCCATAATCGAGTTTAAACAACACAAAAGAGAATGTAAAGAGGAGCGTGCGTCTATTAGCTCCCAAGGAAGTACCTGTATGGGACAAAACCTTAAGTAAGTTAAGATTTTTAAGGGCATTAATGGCCTATGGAAATTCCCATGTGGTTGAGGAGCATTCCATGTCTGCTATCAACCAGGGTTAGGCACCCAGAAAAGTAGGCATAACAAAAATCCCACATGGTAAGAAAATTGCAACCGAAGACCGAATAGAGGCAGAACTCACCCAAGGAAACAAGCAAACGTCATACACCGCTGCCACACCACTTGTCCGCTCAGCCCTTCCCTCCCTGGGAGGGGTATGGGGGAGCCCCAGACCCCCCACGCCGGCTACTCACACCTCCAGTTCGGAGGCTAAGCATCAAAAGCCAAGCGAAACCGCCGACCGGAAGGAGGGTGGGTGCCAGGGAGCCTCTGGGGCTCACCCAGAAAATGGCATTTCATTATATTCAATGCTGGTTACATTCAATTGCATACTATTGTACAAAATGTGTGTGTATTATGTATGAAATGTATTTTGAAGTTAATATTTTTGGGAGTGTGGAACGGATTAGTTCAATTTACATTATTTCTTATGGGGAAATTTGTTTCGAGTTACAACCCGTCTCTGGGTACGGATTAAATTCATAAATGGAGGTACCACGGCACCAGGAAGCCTGACGACTGATTGGACAGCACTCGGGATGTTTAGTCCTAAGGGCCCGGGTCTGATCCTTGGTGGAGACGGTAACAAATGGGCAGTTTCTTTTACCCTGATGCCCCTGTTCACCTAACAGTAAATAGGTACCTGGGAGTTAGACAGCTGCTATGGGCTACTTCCTGGGGATGTGTAGTAAAAAAGAGGCCTGGTTGAGGACCGGGCCACGGGGACACCAAGCCCCAAAATCATCTCAAGATAACCTCAAGAAAACTAACCACTGTATATGAACATCAATGAATATAAAATATATTTGTCCATGAAATACCAAGAATTTAACTAGCATTTTACAGAATCACCATCCACACCTGGTGTATAGGTTGGCTGATTGCTCGTATTAAGGGAAGTGCTTTCATTGGCTGCTCCACCCATGGCAAAGGGATTAGTTGGGTTTGTGGATGTAGGCTGTGGTGGAGGCATGGCAAACACTGGTTGACCACCACTACTTTCACCAACTCCACCTGGTGCCCTAAGGAGGAAAAACACACAGGTCAGTGTAATATTTAGTATGTCAAATGACTTTGGAGAACTGCTAAGTTAATAGTGAAGCAACAAAATCAATTATGACTTAGGTCAGTACTTTAAATCATAGCAAGATAATAAAATATAATGTGCAGATATATCACAGTTAAGAAAAAAATTAAAAAAGTATCAATATAGACTTAATGATCTTTAATAGTTCATCCTCACTCAATGGTCTTCAAATTTAGAAAGGTAAATTCCAGTCTTGAACTTGTAAAAAATACTAAAACAAGTCACATGTGCAAAACTTAACAAAACCATTTCATCCAACAACCCACACCTGCTGCTATCACATTTTTTTCAGTGGCCAATGAAGTAATCATGCATAAAACATATAGTGCACATTTTGTAACAAAAGAAAAATATTCTGCTACATGCCACAAAAACTTGCAATATCTGAAGACTGAAAAGAAGACTTGCATATGGCCTTTCAAACAAAATAATACTAGAACTGTCATGTCATACTAAAAACAAAATTAAATAAATAAAATGTATTTACTTATAAAAATACAGTATGTATATTATATACTGTGTATTATATATCAATATATATATATAATATATATATATTATATATCAATATATATATATATGTCGTACCTAGTAGCCAGAACGCACTTCTCAGCCTACTATGCAAGGCCTGATTTGCCTAATAAGCCAAGTTTTCCTGAATTAATATATTTCCTCTAATTTTTTTCTTATGAAATGATAAAGCTACCCATTTCATTATGTATGAGGTCAATTTTTTTTTATTGGAGTTAAAATTAACGTAGATATATGACCGAACCTAACCAACCCTACCTAACCTAACCTATCTTTATAGGTTAGGTTAGGTTAGGTTAGGTAGTCGAGAAAACGTTAATTCATGAAAACTTGGCTTATTACGCAAATCGGGCCTTGCATAGTAGGCCGAGAAGTGCGTTCTGGCTACTAGGTACGACATATATATATATATATATATATATATATGTCGTACCTAGTAGTCAGAACGCACTTCTCAGCCTACTATGCAAGGCCCGATTTGCCTAATAAGCCAAGTTTTCCTGAATCAATATATTTTCTCTAATTTTTATCTTATGAAATGATAAAGCTACCCATTTCATTATGTATGAGGTCAATTTTTTTTTATTGGAGTTAAAATTAACGTAGATATATGACCGAACCTAACCAACCCTACCTAACCTAACCTAACCTATCTCTATAGGTTAGGTTAGGTAGCCGAAAAAGTTAGGTTAGGTTAGGTAGGTTAGGTAGTCGAAAAACAATTAATTCATGAAAACTTGGCCTATTAGGCAAATTGGGCCTTGCATAGTAGGCTGAGAAGTGCGTTCTGGCTACTAGGTACGACATATATATATATATATATATATATATATATATATATATATATATATATATATATATATATATATATTATTAAATATGACCGAAAAAGTAAGATTAATAATTCTAACACGAATTTTCTCAATCTTTCGTACATTACGCTTCACTGTTGGAGGTAAATAAAAAATCACTTCTCCAAAATTCATTTTTATTTCTAGTCTGACGCGACACGGGCGCGTTTCGTAAAACTTATTACATTTTCAAAGACTTCACAAATACACAACTGATTAGAACTTGCGTTTCCCTGATTTTATATCTACATTTGAGTGAGGTGGGAAGGGTGATGTGGCATTACATTTGAGTGAGGTGGGAAGGGTGATGTGGCATTAACACAAGACAGAACACTAGGGGATATTAATAGGGTATTAAAAGTATCAACACAAGACAGAACAGAAACAATGGGTATTGAATAGAAGTGTTTGTAGAAAGCCTATTGGTCCATATTTCTTGATGCTTCTATATTGGAGCGGAGTCTTGAGGTGGGTAGAATATAGTTGTGCAATAATTGGCTGTTGATTGCTGGTGTTGACTTCTTGATGTGTAGTGCCTCGCAAACGTCAAGCCGCCTGCTATCGCTGTATCTATCGATGATACATAGCAGGCGGTGATGAGCGATAGCAGGCGGCTTGACGTTTGCGAGGCACTACACATCAAGAAGTCAACACCAGCAATCAACAGCCAATTATTGCACAACTATATTCTACCCACCTCAAGACTCCGCTCCAATATAGAAGCATCAAGAAATATGGACCAATAGGCTTTCTACAAACACTTCTATTCAATACCCATTGTTTCTGTTCTGTCTTGTGTTGATACTTTTAATACCCTATTAATATCCCCTAGTGTTCTGTCTTGTGTTAATGCCACATCACCCTTCCCACCTCACTCAAATGTAATGCCACATCACCCTTCCCACCTCACTCAAATGTAGATATAAAATCAGGGAAACGCAAGTTCTAATCAGTTGTGTATTTGTGAAGTCTTTGAAAATGTAATAAGTTTTACGAAACGCGCCCGTGTCGCGTCAGACTAGAAATAAAAATGAATTTTGGAGAAGTGATTTTTGATTTACCTCCAACAGTGAAGCGTAATGTACGAAAGATTGAGAAAATTCGTGTTAGAATTATTAATCTTACTTTTTCGGTCATATTTAATAATATATGTCTACAGGAAAGACTGCTACCAAAATATACTAATATATATATATATATATATATATATATATATATATATATATATATATATATATACACATACATACATATATGTATATACATATATGTATATATACATATATGTATATATACATATATGTATATATACATATATGTATATATATATATATATTATATATATATATACATACACACACACACACACACATACACTGTATATATAATTAAATACTGTAACTAGTTCATAGGTCAGCACCAGTAACACATGAAAGCTTCAATAACTCAGCCCCAATTATAAATTAAAGCATTCAGGTTGCATTATTTGCTTAATAAACAGCAGTTTTTTCCCAGATCCATTCCTTGCATGTTTTACTTTCTATGGCTGCATCTATACTAGTAACACAGTACAGTATATGCAACACATTAGAATACTCTAAAACAAAAAACTTGTTTACCACAACCCATTTTCCTTATTTACTCAGTTTTCTTTGTACAAATTTCAACTACTTAACCCAAAAGATGTTCAATTAAACAACTTTTGACCTAATGTTATTTACATGGTTTTATACATGACACAAACAACTGATGTTGGCTCACAACATGGCTAAGGCCACAGTCACTCTTAATAGATAATGATGCAACAGTTTTGTTCTCTCAAACCTGTCCCTGCAATATGTCTATACAGTACATGTATAAACATGAAAAATGTTAGTTTCACTGTCCAATACAGCATGTGTAATCCACATCCTCCTGTCCAATTCACACACATCTCATCCTTACACTTTTAATATTACTGTAATTTCTTTAAATGGTACTACAAGGAAACTTTGTTCAAATTTAATTAATTATTGTGGTGTTCAGATTCTCTTGGATGATGTCCTTCCAAATCAATTTAATTTTTAACTCTGAGATACATGACAGTGATAAGCTGTTTCAATATCTCTGAGAACTTGATAATTAAATCTTTTTATATTGATATATTGATATTATATTGATATACTTTATCAATACAAGTCTCTATCCAGTTAAGTTTGGATATTTAACTGTAATGGAACATTTGTACTTAAAACAACACAGATGTCACTATATTTCCAATATGCCTTATTAAATTGTGGCTGGGTTTAGGGACAACAGAATTAAAGTACAGTATAGTATTTACACTGTAAAAGCACAGTTGTGCAAGAACTAAAAACTGACATTTTAATTAAGTTTTATTAAATCTGCTAAATTATAAAGATTTACCTAATGCTGTGTCATGAATAACTCATTCTTTTTCCAACATTTTAATGCACAAAACAATATAAAATAGCAATTGCACTCTAGACATTCACCAATTAAACTTCTCCAGATCTTCCAGGGAGATCACAGGTATAATCTCTCAAGGCAATTTACCAGCGTGTATAACATGATGCACCAATTAACTTCTAGAGGTTATGGAAACCACCTGATGTAATTCTCTAGCATACACCTTGGACATTTCCTAATGTAATTGAATGAAATTTATACAAAGTTTGGAAATGATACCTACAAGTACCAAAGAAATATAAAAGAAAAGTAATATAAAATTTGTCATTGTTAGCATGGGTGTTACAAAATATACAATGTATCATGTTCTAAATGATGCAGTAATAATCAGGCATGATGCCCCACAGATGCATATGGGTGGGATGTCTGCAAGCACACTGCTATTGCCTTTAGTAAATGAATAAAAGAATAATTAAAGAAAAAAATAAAGAAAAATATCAACGCCAATCCACGAGCAAATATGTCTAAAAGCTCTTTTAAGGAGATTTGGCAGACAGTTCAACTACCTGAAGGGGTTGGTAGATGGTGAATTGCCTTTATTCTGGTTGAACATCTCTTGTTTCCTGTAAATTCAGCAAGATAATGCTCTCACTCCAGATCATACAATGGTGCCCAAAGAACTGCTTACTAATAAAATACTAACCTTACCACGTGGGAATATTTCTCAAGGTTGTACAAGTACAACTTTAATGTTGAATTACTTACCAGAACACATGTTAGCAACACAAAACTGGTTTACCACTAATTAAAACAAAGCAAACAGGATTTTTTTTTTAATACAGTAAAAGGTTAAAGTTCCTAACATATGAAATGCTAATATCAAATAAATATTTCTTTTGCATGATGAAATTTAATTTATTTCCCATACATCATTCACCAAGCATATGTAGACATAATAAAACTATTAAGCTTTTCAAAGACTGAAATTTAAAGCCATATATGTATTCTCTCAATTGTAAGTACAATGCATAAATAAGAAAGTATATTAAAATTGCATCAACACAAAATCACCCATTTCCCACTCTCATAGGGTAGGGAGGCATCAACTTTCAAGAAAGAGAGAGCAACAATTTAGTGAAAGGTTATACTGTATATACAGTAATACCAAAGAATATCATTTGTTCATTCATCATTTCATTCACACTACATGTATACAATACTGAACTTTATATAGCTAGCACATTACATTTTCCTTCTTTAAACTTTCTGCACTTTAATTATGTCCCGATTAATTCTTCTTACATTCTATATAGCAGTATGAACCTGCCTCTGCTTTCTTGGGGTCAGCCCCCAAGATCTGAGGCTATATTGACCTATAATGGAAAGAAATTCTTTGCTTGTGGAAAGCAAAGGTCACCATTCCACAAGAAAAGAAGACTGTTTAATGATCATATGTCAGTGTTACAGATTTAAGGTCAATATGATAAAATTCCAAAGGTACTGTATCTTAGAAACACCTTGTTTGCTCAATCTTTAAGAATTTCAATCTCCAAGTTGATATGATAAGACATTCAAAATAATGTCTGGATACCTGTCAAGGGGAAAGGAAAGCAAAGGTAGGCACCTGTTCTTCGGAAAGGACCAACAGTCCCAGTCCAAATTCTTGCCTCAAAATGGACTGATTGTCCCAGTCACAGCTCTTTAGGAAGAAAGGAACCAAGACCAGCTTGGTTTTTAGCCTTTGCATTTAATATAAGTGAAATAAGTAACAAACCAAATATGTAATATAAAGACACCAGAAATCATAAATGCTTATTTATTTTAGTAAATTAAAGTTCAAATAAAACAATACAAAATAAATAATAAAACTAATTAAACGAGTATGACACCCTTCTGAGGTCCATGGTGGAGAAATTCCTGAACCTCCCATTGGACGACTCAATGGGAGCAAGCAACCCTCCCTGTAAGATTCAGTGGCCTTGGTGTCTGCACAGCCTTCCAGATTGCCCTACCAGCCTTCCTTTCCTCCTCCCATGCATTGAACAGCCTTGTAAGAGATATACTACTAGTAATTCAGCAGGAATACACGATTCTGCTTTCATTGAATTTTCAAATCAGTGGGATGCTCTTGCAGCCCCAGTCTCAATGTAGATCCAACAAAAAAATACAGTCTAGCTGGGACAGCCCAATTGTGGAAAATATAGCTGATGCCATGTTCAGCGCTGCAACTCCAGACAAGGAGAAAGCCCACCTCAGAGCAGTGCGTGACCTCCATGCAGGAGACGTTCTTTTGGCAGTACTCATGTTGGCAACAGGCACCCATCTAGATCCAGAATCCCTTCGTATAGCAGAAACACTCTGCCTTGATGCTCCAATTCACACTGAATATAAGCGTATTTGATACAGGGTGGTAGCAGACCAATATGGAGTGCATGTGTTGTACTGTGGAAGCTCCAAGGGCTGACATGCAAGATACAAAAAAGTTAATGACATCAAGAGGAGCCTTGCCTCAGCTCAGTGCCCCGTGGAGAGAGAACCACGCATTCTAGTGGACCCAAATCCGGATGACCCCGCACTTCAGCCAGATGGCATTACAATATACCCCCTGGAAGAATACTTTAAAGAACACAATAAAGTAGCCGTCACAACTGCAAGAAAAATGGCAGGTTGGATAACAAGAACTTTTCACACTAGAGATGCTATACCGATGATGATACTTTTCAAAACGCTTGTGCTCTCTAGAGTGAAGTACTGCTGCACAATGACAGCCCCTTTCAAAGCTGGAGAAATTGCTGACCTGGAGAGCGTGCAGAGATCCTTTACTGCTAGAATCCACTCAGTAAAACATCTAAACTATTGGGACCGACTAACGAGCCTAAATCTGTACTCCCTGGAGCGCAGGCAGGAGAGATACATAATAATTTACACGTGGAAAATATTAGAGGGGCTGGTCCCAAACCTGCACACAGAAATAACATCACATGAGACCAGAAGACATGGCAGGATGTGCAGAATACTCCCGTCGAAAAGCAGAGGTGCAACAGGTACTCAGAGAGAACTCTGTCAACATCAGAGGCCCGAGACTGTTCAACACGCTTCCGCTACACATAAGGGGCATAACTGGCAATCCCCTCAGTGTTCAAGAGAGAACTGGATAAGCGCCTCCAAAGGATACCTGATCAACCAGGCTGTGACTCATACGTCAGGCTGCGAGCAGCCGCGTCCAACAGCCTGGTTGATCAGTCCAGCAACCAGGAGGCCTGGCCGACGACCGGGCCGTGGGGACGCTAAGCCCCGGAAGCACCTCACGGTAACCTCAAGGTAAGGAAGAGGGGCAACCAGCTGGTGTGTATCCACCCTGGCTGACACCTACATACACTTCGGTGCTGATCAGGCAGGTGGGGCAGCCAACCACAGAAAAACAACAAAAACAGTCAAATACAGACGATTGGAAGGTCAATACACCTTTGTTCCCTTAGCATCCGAGATGCTTGGCCCCTAGGAAAGGAGTGCCTTGGGATTTCTCAAGAATTGGGTTCCAAGCCCACTAACATTATTAGAGAGCCAAAAGTTGCCATTTTTTTTGTTTCAATGCCTCAGCGTGGGGATCCATAGGGCCATGCATGCGGGGTCCTTGGTTCCTGTCTGGAAGCGGAGGAGCTTCAAAAGATCTATAACCTTTAAACACTAATTGTATTAACCATTAACTCTATCCACATATACCATATTATTTATATATATTATATTATATATATATATATATATATATTATATTATATTATATATATATATATATATATATATATATATATATATATATATATATATATATATATATATATATATGTCGTACCTAGTAGCCAGAACTCACTTCTCAGCCTACTATGCAAGGCCCGATTTGCTCAATAAGCCAAGTTTTCATGAATTGTTTTTCAAATACCTAACCTACCTAACCCAACCTAACCTAACTTTTTCGGCTACCTAACCTAACCTAACCTATAAAGATAAGTTAGGTTAGGTTAGGTAGGGTTGGTTAGGTTCGGTCATATATCTACGTTAATTTTAACTCCAATAAAATAAAATGACCTCATGCATAATGAAATGGGTAGCTTTATCATTTCATAAGAAAAAAATTTGAGAAAATATATTAATTCAGGAAAACTTGGCTTATTAGGCAAATCGGGCCTTGCATAGTAGGCTGAAAAGTGCGTTCTGGCTACTAGGTACGACACACACACACACATTATTTATTTTTTATATATATATATATATATATATATATATATATATATATATATATATATATATATATATATATATATATATATATATATGTATGTATATATATATATATATATATATATATATATATATATATATATATATATATATATATATATATATGTATGTATGTATGTATGTATATATATATATATATATATATATATATATATATATATATATATATATATATATATATATATATATATATATATATATATATATATATATATATATATATATATATATATATATATATATATATATATATATATATATATATATATATATATATATTTTGGTAGCAGTCTTTCCTGTAGACATATATTATTAAATATGACCGAAAAAGTAAGATTAATAATTCTAACACGAATTTTCTCGATCTTTCTTACGTTTCTTTTCACTGTTGATGGTAATTCAAAAATCAATTCTCCAAAATTCATTTTTATTTCTAGTCTGACGCGACACTTGAGCGCGTTTCGTAAAACTTATTACATTTTCAAAGACTTTAGTTTACACACACACACAACTTTAACTGAATAGAGCTTAAACATCTTCGAGTTTTTTATACCTACATTTGGGTGAAGTGACATGTTACAATAGTTTTGGATGAGGTGAAAATAAACCTTTAATACCTGTTTGTATTACATTGTTTTCGTGTTCTGTCTTGTGTTTATATATATATATATATTATATATATATATATATATATATATATATATATATATATATATATATATATATATATATATATATATATATATATATATATAATATATATATTATATATATATTATATATATAATATATATATATAATATATATATATATATATATATATATATATATATATAATATATATATATATAATATAATATATATATATTATTAAATATGACCGAAAAAGTAAGATTAATAATTCTAACACGAATTTTCTCAATCTTTCGTACATTTCTTTTCACTGTTGGAGGTAAATCAAAAATCAATTCTCCAAAATTCATTTTTATTTCTAGTCTGACGCGACACGAGCGCGTTTCGTAAAACTTATTACATTTTCAAAGACTTTAGTTTACAAATACACAACTGAATAGAACTTACGCATCTCCGATTTTATATCTACATTTGAGAGAGGTGGATGGGGTGAGGTGGCATTAATAGGGTATTAATTTCATCAACACAAGACAGAACAAGAGGTGGTATTAATAGGGTATTAATTTCATCAACACAAGACAGAACACGAAACAATGGGTATTGAATAGAAGTGATTGTAGAAAGCCTATTGGTCCATATTTCTTGATGCTTCTATATTGGAGCGGAGTCTTGAGGTGGGTAGAATATAGTT